CCTCCCTCCCAATGTGAGCTAATACCCAGACCGTCCCATGACAAGCTCTGGGGGTTAACAGAAAGAGTACACCTTGCTGTGGTCCCCAGGGACATGCTCATCTAATCAACATGCCAGCCCGTCCTGCCTGAGTCAGAGTTAGTGCTTCACTCAGTATGGAGGACAGAACAGACGGAGAAATGGGAAATGAAAGAAGGGCCTAGCAATAGGCAGGACTGGCCAGAAGGGCCAGCAGGACTCTGTAGCGGAAGCCTTGCCCTCTTGACTGGAGGAAATCTGGGGGAGTCTAGAAAATCTAAGCAGCTTCTCTACCACAGCCACCCCCTTTTTTATTTATTCATTCTTCATCATAAACTTAACTCTGCAAACCAGCTAGACTTGGGTGGAATGAGGAAAATAAGGAACCCAAAGAACTTCAGTGAGAGCAGAGATCACAGGGTATTGTGAGCAGATTGGATGGGGTCTCTCCTGAGCTACAGAAGGAATGGTCTGGTGTGTAAGCCAAGGCTGATATTGCTGGCCTTGCTATTCCTGAACCCCAAACACTCCATGGCTTCCGAGATGCTCATATCTTCTTTCACTTTCCCAGAGGCCACACATTTGCCATACAGCCACTCAGTCTTCATGGTACAAATAAAGAAAAACAAAAACAACTGGGAAGTTGGGGGGGAGGGGGGAAAGTTGCGCTGGAGAGGTGGTTCAGTGGTTAAGAGCACTGGCCACTCTTCCAGAGGACCCAGGTTCAATTCCCAGCACTCACATGGCAGCTCACAACTGTCTGTAACTCCAGTTCCAGGGGACCTGACACCTTCACACAGACATACATGCAGGTAAAACACCAATGCACATAAAATAAATAGCTGGGTAGTAGTGGTGCACACCTCTAATCCCAGCATGCCTTTAATCCCAGGGAGGCAGAGGCAGGTGGAGCTGAGTTTGAGGCCAGCCTGTTCTACAGAGTGAGTCAAGGCTACACAGAGAAACCCTGTCTTGAAAAACCAAAACCAAACAAAACTGGGAACTATTTGTGTTTGGTCCAGCACTAGCCATGGACAAGATGCCAGGACCTTTATGCTTCAGGATGATGTCCTCATCCTCAAATGTCTCCCCACAGGTAGACCTGCCACCAGGGCCTTCATGGCATGACGTCACCACCCTGGCCCTGTGAGTCCTGGGATAATTCTGTGAAAAGAGGAATCTTGTATCCAAATTCTTTCTCCCCAGTACCCAGAGCAGGAAAGTTTGCAAACAGTTGGGAGATGAAGTCCAAGGGCTTGACATCTGCCCAGATGTTGAAGAACACTATGGGACAGACCATGGCTGTAGAAAGAGGCAGCAGGGGACAGCGATTGCAAAGCCCTACCACAGCTCTTTCTGAAGAGCTTCTTTTCTGATGCTTAGCTGTGCAACCCTACTCTAATTACTTAACCTCACTGTGCCCTGGTTTCCTTACAAATGTGGTGCCTACTGCCCTGTGTCACTTTTTTTTAGCAGAGGCCAGTTTGGTGTGGAAAGACAGTCCTTGGTCTGCACACACAAGTGTTCCTCTGGCCCTTGCTTTAGAAACAGGCCTCAGGCCCATCTTAGCGACTGATTCCTCATTGCTCTAACATTATGGAAACAGATGCTAGGCTGTTCTAGAAGTGATTTAGGAAACAAGTTTGGTCTGGCTCGTGTCTGTAATCCCGTACTAGGGATGCTGAGGCAGGAGGATTTTCTAGAGTTCCGGGTTAGCCTGGGCTGTGTAGTGAGACCCTCAGTCAGTTCTTTGTTCTCATGCCAGCTCATGTCCCCTTCCTACAGGGTCCCCAGAGCCTCCACTGGACCACAGGCTCCTGAAGGCAGTGCTGGTCATCCTAGTGTCCATTGTGAGCTCAGGGGTGGGGCAGCAGCTGTGTGGTCTATACTGGGTGCTGAGTCAGCCCTTCAAGGGACAAACTGCTGTAACAGAGTCCCATAGACTGTGGGGATGCAGAGCAGAAATTCATTCCTGTCTGGAAGCCAAAGTTCAAGGCCATGAGCCATGAAGCACAGTTAGGTGCTGTGGCAGTCCCTGTTGGCTTGTAACAGCCCCTCCCCCTACTCCTGATTTTTGTGGGTGTGGGTATGGATGCTTTGCATGTATGTATGTGCATGTCTGTTGCCCACAAAGGCCATAAAAAGGCATAAGATGCTCTGAAACTAGTTACAGGCCATTGTGGGCAGCCATGTGGGTGCTGGGAATCTAACTCCGTTCATTCCTCTGCAAGAGCAGCTGGTGCTTTTTAACAACTGCTGAGCCATCTCTCCCGCCCAGGATTGCTCACCTTCCACCCCCAACACAGCCCAGTGGCCTCTCCCACGGGAGTGGGGGGGGGATGGAGGAATAGGGGAGTGGGGGGGACATGCAGGCTACCCCCCCCCATAGTGCAGCCTCCGTGGGAGCAACACTGCAGAACTGTGACCCTAAGAATGGATCAGTCCTCTCTGGGCCTTGGTTTCCAAGGGAGGGGCTCTCCTGAGCATGGCTTCTGAAGAAACAGCTGAGGCCTGGCAGGCTTCAGGAAACTGTCAGTCTCTTTGTCTCTCTGGTCTTAGGGTACTCAGGGTTACCTGGAACTACGTAGACTACCAGGCTGGCCTCAGACTCTTGAGATCCACCTGCCTCTCAGATGCTGGGATTGAAGTCGTATGCCACCACACCCAGCTCTCTCTCATCACTCCCTCTTTTTAAAAATAATTATTTGTATTTTATGAGCATTGGTGTTGCCAGCACGTATGTCTGTGTGAGGGTGTCGGATGCCCTGGAACTGGAGTTACAGTTGTGAGCAGCCATGTGGGTGCTGGGAATTGAACCCAGGTCCTCTGGAAGAGCAGCCAGTGCTCTTAACTGCTGAGCCACCTCTCCAGCCCCATAGAGGAAGTTTTTGTTTTGAAAATACAGATCTTTGAGTTTTTTTGTTTGCTTGTTTTTCAAGACTATTTCTCTGTGTAACAGCTCTGGCTGCCCTGGAACTTACAGAGATCCACCTGCTTCTGCCTCCCGAGTACTGAGAGGCATGCACCACCAATGCCTGGCTTCATTCCCTCTCAAGACTTTTAAAGCTGGGCACAGTGGCACACACCTTTAATCCCAGCACTTGGGAGACAGAGGCAGAAAGATCTCTGTAAATTCAAGGCCAGCCTGGCCTACAGATTTAGTTCCTGAATAGCCAGGGCTACATAGTGAGACCAAAAAAAAAAAAAGCCCATGAAGACTCTGGGAAGAAAAATGGAGTCACCCCTGGGAGGGAGGAAAGACCTAGGGCTTAAAGTCAGGCTCCACATGAACTGCCGTGCCATAGCTGTCATGTAGATGGCACCTCTGGGGGCCTGCAAGACCCTGGTACCACAGCAGTCCATGGTGCATGGCTCGCTGTACATTTCTGAAGCGTGTTACCTCAATTCTGAGGCATGTGCTTTGTGTGTGGTGTCTCTGGTGTATTCATGCCTGTCTTCTCCAAATGAGTGAGTGTCGTTTCTGTGTGCCATGTGTATGACCGTATGTGTCGGTGTGTCAGTGTACTGTGTGCGTGATGTGCCAGTCAGTGGTAAGCATCTCCGTGTGTGTGGGGGCATGTCTTTCTGTGGTATGTGTGGGAGAGCCTTTGTGTCTGTTTCTCCATGTGTACGATGTATGTGTCTTTCTATGTTCATGTGTATCTGTGCTGTGTCTCCATATATGTGCAGTAGCTATGTAGTGTGTGTAGTCATGTGTGGTGTGCTTCTCCAAGTATGGTTTCTGTATGTGGTGTGTATATAATGTTTATTGTGTGTTGTGTACCTTATGGTGTGTTTTTTTTTGTATGTGTGGGGTCTCCAGGTGCTATATATGTGCTGTTCTGTGTGTGGGGTCTCTGGTATATGTGTATGTGTGCCTCCCCGTGTCCTGCTTCTATGCCCAAGGCATCCCCGTGTCCTGCTTCTATGCCCAAGGCATCCTCGCTGTGTGTGGGGTCTCTGTAGATTAAATGTGGTATGTAGTGTGTGTGTGTGTGTGTGTGTGTGTGTGTGCGCGCGCGTGCGCGCGAGCGTGCGTGCGTGCGCTGTATGCCTCTCTTATGTTCTGCTTCAGCATCCCTCTCCCTGAGTTCCCAGATTCTCCATGGTGGCCATGTCTCAGGTCGCAGGTTGGAGGCAGGTTCCCCACAGTCAGGCGCCGGGAACCCAGGATTCAGGGATCCACAGTGAGGGAAAGTTTCCGATCCGGAGCTAGAGCTGAAGTTTTGCGGCGCAAAGCCAGGCCAACACTGCCCCCGCGCGGCGCGGTGCGGCGCAGCAGGCGACCGGGGAAACCAAGGCAGAGAGGGCACCCGCAGCGCTCAGCACTCCCTCGAAACTAGGAGCCTTCGTCCTGGATCGCAGCCTGAAAGCCCAGAAAGAGAACCAAGCCAAGCTCCAGCCCAGCTCTGGGACACTGCTGCATCGCGCCTCAGGTCAGGTCCAGATCGACCTTTCTCCAGCCCTTCACCATCCCTAGCTCATCTGGTCCCCAAGAGGCCCAGCCCAGTCCAGAACAATCCCCGCTTTAGAATCCTTGTTCTCCCGGTTAGATCACGCTGTGCGGCGAGTTCGAGCTGTTTCTTCACCGGCCTGCAGGTGGCGATAAAGACCTGGCCAGAGCTCGAGGACAAGGCAGAAACTCCAAAGGGAGGGAGGCTCCCAAGTTTCCTTCAAGGGCTGGACTTGGTGTGGTAGGGCACCCAGGTGTATGGAGGTGGCTAGGTTTGTGCAGCAAATAAACTCTAGAAGGTGCCTGTCATCTTGTCTCGGGCCACTTCCCCGTATGGCTTTGAACACTGCATCGGGTTAAGAGGCTAAGGTTTGCCCACACACCGGGCTCTTTCCTGGGCTGGGGTCTGCAATTCCCTGTCCTCATCAGCTTCATCCCAGATATGATTCCATCCTAATCTCCCCCATCCAGGAACCCCCAGCGGTTCCAAATCAGGCACCCAGAAAGCTTGAATTGGGAGACCCTGTGATCCATCTCAGCCACCTGGGAGGTCTGTTTATTTGTAGGTCAAGAGAGCACTCCTCTCACTGCCTGGTCTGGGTACACCCCTGGGTTGGGGCTCCAGCAGGCAGTCACCTCTCAGTCTGCTGCCGGTTTGTGGGTGGCAGGAGGAGCCGGTAGCCCTTAGGGCGGCCTCGCTTCAGGACGGACTGCAGCACCAAGCTGGGCAGAAAGGACTCCTAGAGTGAGAAGGATGCCCAGCTGGGCACTGCCAAGGGGACTTCAGGGAGGAGGTGGGGAGGAGATGGGTTTCCCCAAGGCTCAGGGGGGAGGAGACAGGTCCCCAGGGGCTCTCAGCTAGCCTAGGCTGAAGCACAGCCCACCCACTCACTAGCAGCAAGGCAGCTGCTGGCCTGGCTCAAGCGCCTCCTCCCTCTCGCCTGCAGGGCTCCACACTGAGGGAGGCTGGGCCATAAGACCAAGCTTTAAGCCCCATGGTGACTCAACAGAGAGGATCCCTACAGAGTCATTCAGGACTGCTGCATCTGGTGGACAGCTGCCTGGGCTACCCACCAGCTAGCTTCCCTGGTGGTTTCAGGGACAGGACAATTTGCCCACCTGCTCCACACTGTTTGGGGTGTCAAGGAAGGTCCTGAGGCCTCCCCGTGGCCTTGTGGTGGTGGCCCTGGAGATGAAGGGTAGGCGGCTGCTCATGGTGGCATCCTCAGAAAAGTAGAGCTGTGGTTCCTGAGCTGACCTGGAGGGGAGACAGGGACCTATGGTTTTGTGACCTCGAATCCCAGACCTCTGGAGGGCCTGGACCACAACCCTCCTGCTTCCTCTACCCAGAGCCTCACACTCGGGGGCAGTTCCAGCATGAGGAGCCGGCCACAGTATCTTGGGCCCTGGGACGCAGGGCTCTGGGCAGACTCTCCAGCCATCTCCCAACACTCCCAAGCACCCGCTCTGACACAGACACAGCAGGCAAAGCCGTCTGCTCACATGGAAAGATATTCTGTCGGACTAGAAAAGAGAGAGGAGCAGAGTGAGTTCCCTGCCCCCCCGGGGGAGGGGCACACTGACGCCCCACCCTCACTCCTCCCTCTGGCTGGCAAGGCTAGACAGAGCCCTGTCTCCATGGCAACCACAGGCTCCCCAGTGCCTTCTGGCTGCCTCCAGAGAAGTCCTGGGTTTTAAAACTACTTCCAATGACTGTTGCTGCTGTTAGCACCAAGCTGTGCCCTGCCATGCCCCTACCCCTGCTCCAACCTCCAATAGACCCCCTTTTTCTAAAGTGGAAGGGCCAGGCACCCCACCATGGAAATTCCAGAGAGGATGCCAAGAATCTGCAAGGGATGGAGGGGAGTCTCAGAGAGCTTTTCCTAGAACCCGCGATTCCCAGGAACTGCCTTAGACAGGAAAGTCTGAAAAGACACATGCGGAGTCCTGGTGCCATGGGATATGGCCACAGTGCTTGGGCTGTCCTTGGGTTTCTGGGACATTTTGACCTCTATTCTAGGCGTACATGGTTCTTATACAAACACCTTTGCTTCAGTTTTCTCCTGAATCAAATATAACCAGAAGCTGGGGTGAGGCATAGCAGCACATGCCTGCCTGTAATCCTAACAGCTGGGAGGATGAGGCAGGGGGATTAGTATTTCAAGGTCATCCTTAGCCAAGGACAGTGGGACGGCCTGGGATACATAAGACTCTGCCTCAAAAAAGATAGCAATAAATCAAACATTGCTGGTCCTGGGCATAAGCACTTTCAAATCTAGTATATGAAATTATATTTTTCTGATGCACACATAGGGACATAGGGACAAAATATAACTAGCCAGAAGTTGGGCTTCTTTGATTCTTTGAGTATTAAAAGGAGGTCCTGGAGGCTACTGAGTCCCAAGTACCAGGAAAGAGGGATGTGTGGCAATGGTCACCTCTTGTCTTCCTCATTATCCTGCCTGCCTCCCCATACCCGGTCAGAAATGTCAAAGGAAACCAACTGCCCACCATTACATCCACCCCCAGAGCCAACCTCCCACTTCTGCCAGGGGTTCTGAGTTTCTCTGTTGGACTCTTACAATAACTGAGAGGACAGACTCCATCTTCCCAGACTTTCTGGACATCTGGTCAACCTGACCCTGGGGTCTGCTTTCAAGAATTTGTGAGGAAAATGCTTCAGGAAGCTGCTGAGGGAATGGAAAGCTGTGCAAGCTCGAGTGGCAGCAAGGAAGGGCTCTTTAATGATAGCCAAGCCTGGGCTGCCTTTGTTTCTTGGGTCACCACTGCAGCTGCTTCTTGACACCACCTGCCTGATGCCAGTCACCCCTACTTGGTCCTTGAAGACCACCTTAACATATTTTGAAAAGGTCTGTATAGGTACTTCCTCTTAGGAGTCAATGGCTTCCCCAGCTCTTTGAAGATCCAGAGCCTCAACTTCTGGCCTCTGCACTCTTGGCAGGACTTTTCTAGAATCCCAGGGCTTTAGAAGCAGATGTCTGCTCACCTGCACGGTTGCGCTCCCAGTAGCGGAGTGCTGTGTCCTGCAAGGTCTCGTCTGCAAATCGAACTCGGAAAGGACAATAGCGTCTGCGAGGCCTTAAGCCTTCTCCAGTGGGGCTGTGGATGAGCAGAGTCTTCACTTTGGGGACCTGCTCACTGTGGAGTCTGCTGAGGGAGGTGAGGGGTAGGGGAGCCAGGGCTCCCTGGAAGATCTTGGACCGGGCTGGAGAGATGATCCAATGGTTAAGAGTACATTACTGCTCTTTCAGAGGACCCAAATTTGGTTCTAGCACCCACATTGTTGGATCACAACTGGCAGGAACTTCAACTTTTGGGGGATCGGGGGCCCTCTTCTGGACTCTTCAGGCACCAAGGCTCATGTGCATATCACATCCCAAGTAAATAAAATATAAATCTTTGAAAGATCTGATCTTGGGCTATAGTGGTAGTTCAGTGGTTAAAAGCACTGCTTGCTCTTCTAGAGGTCCTGAGTTCAATTCCTAGCAACTACATGGTGGCTCACAACCATCTATAGTGAGATCTGGTGCCCTCTTCTGGTGTGCAAACATACATACAGGCAGAACACTGTACATAATAAATAAAAGTCTTTTTAAAAAAAAGATTGTTTGAAAAAAAAAAAGAAAAAGAAGCAGCCAGGTAGTGGCCAGCACTTGGGAGGCAGAGGCAGATGGATCTCTGGGAATTCAAGGCCAGCCTGGTCTACAAGAGCTAGTTCCAGGACAGGCTCCAAAGCTACAGAGAAACCCTGTCTCAAATCGAAACACTACAAAAAAAAAAAAAAAAAAAAAAAAAAAAAAAAGATCTGATCTCGTTTAGTGACAGGGTTACTCTAGTCACATCAGTTAGCCATTTCCAAGTGCTTGTTCTGGCTCATCATGTGGCATGCTCTTTCCCACCAAAACCTGCACAATGCCCACGAGGCCGTTACTATTCTCATTTATTGGTGAGGAAACCGAGGCACAGCTGTCACTCAAACATCATGCCAGAGGGCAGGATTTTGCAGTAATAAATCAAGAGGTCCTGGCAAGCTACAACCTGTCTCCTCCTCTGTAAAATGGAGGTCATCAAGCAGCACAGTGGCATGTGGGATACTTGGGAGGTAGAGGCAGAGGGGGTTGGGTATTCATCATCCTCAGTTACACAGTGACTGTGAGGCCATCCTGTACTATGTGAGACCATGCATTGGCAAATAAGTAGATAATATAAATAAGGAAATCAAAATGGTGCCCCACCCCTTCCTCAGGACTGGCATGGAGATGGGGTGGGCTGCAAGAATATCCTGCTGAGGGTATGCCAGGCAGAGGAAACATCTCTAGCTTTGAGCTGTTACGATAGTTGTCAGTCTCATTTATGCCACCGAGGCCACATGAGCTGGGGGCACACTGTCCCCAAGGCCCCACTTCTCAGTGTCCTCCTTCCGGTCATATGCTGTGTTATAGGCAGGAACTGGGAGGAAAAGATCTGTTCGTTTCTCCTTTGGGGGCTGACTGCAAGCTTGGTTTCTTGGTCACTTGGAAATGACCCATTACACTTTCACCTCGAGCACACATATTTACACGTCTACACACAGTTATCCTGTGCCATCTTTTTGTGGATGAAGAGAGTATGTTTCTTGTCTATCAAAAAGCTACACAGCTGGGGTGACTAGGTGACTGGGTAGAGGTGTTGCGGCTCAGTTAGACCATAGTTTTGTGCATACAAACCTCAGCTCTGTCCTGGCAACAGGGCCAGGCTTAGGCATCTCCCAGCTCTGCCTGCCAGAGTGAGATCATGGCTTCCCTGCCTAGGGCAGATCACTGGAGCCATGTAATGTACCAAGGGAATGTTACATATCAGTAAGTGTCCAACTCTAGTCTATACTTTTTTGTAATGATTTACTTATTTTTATTTTATGTGTATTAGTGTTTTTCTTGCATGTATGCCTGTGTGAGGGTGTTGGCTCCCCTGGAGCTAAAGTTACAGTTGTGAGCTGCCATGTGGGTGCTGGGAATTGAAACCAGGTGAGGCATCTCTCTACCCTCCTAGTCTCTACTTTGGTCCTGGAGAACCATGACAGGAAGGATTCTGGGGCTCACATAGGAATGTGCAGTGATCCATTAGTATTGGCTGGCATGGATACAGATGGAAGAGTAATAGTATGCTTTCTGTGTATGCATGCTCTCTGGTCCATCTATTCTTCCTTCCCTAAATTAATTAATTTATTGAGACAGTGTCACACTGCCTAGTCCTGGCTGTCCTGGAAGTCACTATGTAGACCAGGCTAGCCTCCAACTCAGAGTTGCCTGCCTCTGCCTCCTGAATGCTGAGACTAAAAATGTGCACCACTGGAGCTAGAGAGATGGCTCAGAGGTTAAGAGCACTGGCTACACTTCCAAAGGTCCTGAGTTCAATTCCCAGCAACCACATGGTGGCTCACAACCATCTATGCCCTTTTCTGGCCTGCAGGCATACATTCAGACAGAACACTCACACCTAAAAAATACATAATTAAAAAAAGTACACCACCACACCCAGCTCTCTAGTCTTTAAATGGCCAGACAGTACTCTAAACCTACTGTTTCTTTCCCCCTCTCCATTAGGAGCTCTCTAGCATTCTGGTTCAGGTAAGCATCATTAGTGCCCCAGGATTTTTCTTGCTTCTATCTCATTGCCTTTTCTCTAGTAGTTGATACAAAGCAAAACTCCATAAGTGGGTAATGCTAGGATATACGAGAAGGATGCAGTGATGGGTGGATTTATGACTGGATCTGAACTGAAGGACTGAATCTCAGGGTGGGTAGCTGTATGGTTATACAGATGTGGAACCTTGTGGGTGGCCTTATTACTCTGTGAAAGGGTATTGGCACCTGGGTTTATAAGTGAATGAAAGGACAGTTACTGGGCAGCTATAACCAGGGGGAATTTGTGAATAGATAGAAAATGGACTGTTGGGGGCAGTTACAGGTTCATGGCCAATAGATACCCTGATGGATAGATGTGTGAGAGATTCACAATAGCTTGTAGTTAATGCCTAAGGTGAATGCAGGGATGGATAGGTGAATGGGTCGGTGAATACATAGTAAATCCACTAGTGAACGACTGGAAATGAGGGAGCAAAGGAGTGCCTTCCTACTCCCGCCCCCTTAAATCATGGGTTGAGGAGATGAGATAGCTCAATGGGTAAAGGTGATTGGCAGGTAAGCCTAGAGAGCTCTGTTTCAACACACACACACACACACACACACACACACACACACACACACACACACACGTGAAGGTGGCAGGACAGAGTCAGCTCCACAAAGCTATAGCACATGTGTCCTCACAACAGCTACTACTCACGGGTTAGCCTTTCTGGCTGTGACAAATTCGCCTCTTGGGAGCCCCAGGGTAGGCTTCTCTCTAAGACTGTCCTCTGAGTGCAATGATTGGTCCCTTGAAGACAAAGAGGTCACAGCTGATGGAAGCAGAGCCCCACTCCTGCAGCAATCAGGGCAACCCATCCTTCACCAAGAAGTTGTCTCCACTTACCACAGGTCTGGGAGGAATGAGCAGCTGGGACAGCGCAAACCTAGGGAGTGCTCTGATGCACCCTTGGGGTACTGTGGCGCTGAGGGTGCTGGGAGTGGAGAAGAGGAAGAAGAAAAGGGAGAAGAGGGGGAAACCCAGTGACTGGGGGTGGTCCTCACTGGGGAGGGACCCTAGCTCCTACCTCACCCCACCCCACCTGTTTTCGGGGCCTCACGGTGCTCCTCGGACTCCGTGCACTTGGCGCGCAGCTGGTGCAAGAAGTCACGGAATTTGATGGGCAGAAACTGCCCCAGCAGCGTGCTCAAGGAGTCTGGGTTCTCACGGGCCGCCGGCTGCCGTGCTCCCCGGACCCCCGCCCTCCGGGCCGTGCTGGACGGTAGCAGCGGCGGCAGCAGCAGCGCTCTCATGGTCCCGCGGCCCCGCGGCCCATACGGGACCCCGGGGGACAAGTAGGGCAGACGCTCACGGTCCTGCCACCACGCGCCGGCTGAGCCTCGTTCCGTTCGGGAGTCGGGCGTGGGCAATTGGGGGAACAGCGGAGCGGAGCAGCGTGGGGCAGCCCTGTCGGGACACCCTTTGGGCTCGTAGACCGGGGTCCCCGCTGCGGCCTGGCGCCGGTACATTGTGAGTCTGAGCTCAGCTCAGGACATCTTCGCGCCTGGGGGACGCGCGGGGGCGAGCGGGACCGCGGGGAGGTCGCGCGACAGCCCGCAGGCCATAGTGCCGGGTAGGGGCAGCTGAGCCGGCTCGGGCAGGACCCTCCCCTGCTGTGTCCGCGCCCTGCTGAGTCCGCGCGCAAAGACGGTGAAGGTGAGGACGCTAGCCCTTTGGGGGCGGCTGTGACGTTGATGTGAGCTAGTACATGCTGGGCAACTGGCATAGTGCAGGGCGTGGGCACCTGCTGTCCGAAAACCGCCTTTATCACTTAGCACAGTTGGGAGCGGACTTGCCTAAAATGGTCGAGAGACTGAGCGTGGCGGCGCATGCCTGTGATCCCACAATTTGAGAGGTAGAGGTTGGAGAGATGGATCAGCGAGAGGACCGTGGAGTCCCAAAACCTACAGGGCAGCTTTCAACCTCCAGTTCCAGGGAGATCTGCCACCCTCTTCCAGTCTCTGATGGCACCAGGCACACACGTGGTGCACAACTATGTAGGCAAAACACTCATACACATAATTTTTTTTCTTAAATTTAAGGCTATTGTTGGACGGTGGTGGTGCACACCTTTAATCCCAGCATTTCGGAGACAGAGGCAGGTGTAGCTCTGAGTTCAAGGCCACCCTAGTCTATAAGAGTGAGTTCCAGGACAGTCAGAACTGTTACACAGAGAAACCCTGTCTCGAATATATATATGTGTGTGTGTGTGTGTGTGTGTGTGTGTGTGTGTATGTATATATATATATACACATACACACACACACATATATGTTTGTATATGTATATTAGTTTTGTCTCTGAGATCTGGGCAGCCAGAAAAGTTCCCCAAGTCAGCACTCAGGACTACAGAATTAGAGGAAGGGTCCCTCTGCATGGCACAAGCTGGCCTAAACTCCATTATCCCCCTCACCCCCATCCCCCCCACCCCTGCCTCTGTTTTCCAAATTCTGGGATTACAGACCTGGGCTACCACCTGCAGCTCACACCTGACAGAAGGCCATAGAGAAAGAGGCTGGGAGGGCTGGACCCCCTCCTGCTGGCTGTAGACAGCAAGCAATGGGGGTCTGGCAGCCTGTTCTCCGGATCGAAACAAGCTGCAAATACTCATGACTTTCTCCCATCTCCTAGCCTAGATCTGACAGTGGGTCTGGGGAGAAGCCAAGACCCCAATGCTGGGGATGAGACAGAGACAAGTGCTCCACCATCAAGCCACATCCAAGGTCAAGACACATTTTGAGCAAACTCCCTATTAGGGAGGAAAGCCCCAGTCCCCCCGCTTCATCCCTGACACTGGTGGCTGGTGGGGTGGGAGCAGTCTCCAGGCCTGCTCCTTCCCCAAGCATACTCTATTCTCAGATTGTCATCAGCTCTAAATGGTTCCTGGGAGACATCTCACTCACCGTGTGGGGTCTGCTGGGTGAGGCCTTGGAAGGTCCTGTGAATTTAGAGCCCCCCCCCCCCAACAGGTGGGCTATTCGCTGAGAGAGCCCATCTTCCCACCTGCTGCCTCTGGCAGCCCCTCCCAGGTGTCGGCAAGACTTCTTGGAGTCATTGTGATTCGCTTTCACCCATAGCTACTGGGGAGCAGTGGGCACTGTGGCTTGGGAACAAGGGTGGGGCTTGTGTGCCCTGGATGGCCAGGGCCACACCCCTCAGAGGCTTTGTAGTCCTGGCCAGGGCAGCCATGCTTAATCCAGAGAGGAATATGCCAGTTTCAGCCACTCTTCCAGACCCAGAGTGGCTGTACTTGGCTGAGTGGAAAGGGCAGGACTTCCTGTCAGTCCCACATTCATAAGAACACAGTGGGCCTGGAACCCACAAACCAAGGTTAAGTTCATTTTCTGCTTCTCTTGGCTATATGGTGTTGATGGTTTTTTAATTCCTGGGAGTTCTGTGAGCCAATAGGATAGACAGATGAACAAGCCAGTGAGTTGTGGTTGGGAGGGCCCTGGAGGAAGCCCATGGAAGTGTAGAACTCAGGTTGGAGGAGGAGGGTACCATTGAGACAAGTATATGCAGGTGTGTAATTTTATAACTCAAAAAAAAAAAAATCTCACTCATATGTCCACAGGAGGCATCATGAAAGATGTGTCCCATTTTCTGTGACTTTCTTCAGAGGAATGGAGGCACATATTCCCTCAGGAAGTTAGAATATTAAGTGGGGGGGGGAATGAACTTCTTTATTTTTGTTATTTTTTTCTAAGATGGGGGTGGTCTTAGCTCTCAAACTCACTACTCAAGGATGATCTCAAACTCCTGATCCTTCTACTAGGCATAGGGTGCCTCCCCCTCCTAAGTGGTAGGGTTGCAGGCATGCACAGCTGCAACTAGTTTTATGTGGCGCATGCTAGGCAATCACTTTAACAACTGAGCTAAATCAGTATTGTATAGCCACTTAAAATTATGAGTATAGGTGTGTATCTGTGTGTGGGCATGTGACATGAGTGCAAGGCACTTGGAATCCAGAAGTGGGCGCCGGACCCTTTGGAGCTGGAGTTACAGGCTACTGTGAGACTCCCAGTGTTTGTGCTGAGATCTGAAGTCAGATCTTCTGCAAGAGTAGTATGTGCTCCTGCTTTTATCAGGAGCCCTGGAACCTGTATATTATTATTATTGTTAATTTTGAAACATGTTTTCACTATGTATCTGTGAATGTCCTGGAATTCACTATATAGACCAGGTTTACCTTGAACTCACAGAGATGTACCTGCCACTGCCCCAAGAATGCTGGGATTAGAGGCATGAGCCACCACACCCAGTCAAATCTGCATTTTAAAAGAGATTTTATTTTTTATTTTATTTTGTGTGTATGTGTGTGTGAGAGAGAAAGAGAGCACAAGTGCTTTTGTTTTGAGTCCAGACGGGGTCAGATCCCTGGGAACTGAATTCTGATATCTGGGAAAGCAGCAAGCATCCCCCACCCCACAAACAAGGTTTCTCTGTGTAGCCCTGGCTGTTCTGGAACTCGATCTGTAGACCAGGCTGACCTTGAACCCTGCCTTCGGAGGAGTGCTGGGATTAAAGGTGTGTGCTACGGCCCCACCTGAAGCAAGAACTGCTGAGACACAAGCCATCTCTCCACGCCCTTGGCTTTTGTTTTGTTTCTGAGAGGAGGTCTCAGGCAATGTAGGCTGGTATTGAATTTACTACTGAGAGGGTAACCTTCAACCCCTGGCTTTCCTGCTCCACTTTCTAAGAGGTAAGATTACAAGCGCTCACCACTGCGTCAGGTGACTAGCTCTTCAAACCTACAACACTTCAGAGCAGATATCAAATGACATGTACACAGATTTAGGGTGGGACTCAACTGTAGGTGGGTTTTTTCCCAGCCTCCTAAGTCTCTATAGCTTTCATTTCATTAGCCTACACATTGAGCACATTAATGGTAAAGCATTCTTTTAATCCCAGCACTTCAAAGGCAAGAGGAGCACTATGAGTCTAGGCCATCCTGGGCTATCTAGCAAGTCCCTGACTCAAAAAGAAAAGAAAAATAAAATAAAAGCAAGCACTACTTTAAGTGCCTCCTGTATGCTTTATAGATATGTCTAACATCAGGGTATTGGCTGGCAGAGCAGAGCTTACGGTGAAAGTTATGATAGCTTTCATTGCCTGGGAGCCCACTGCAAATGCTGGGCTGAAGCCTGAACCCGCTAACGCCACAAACTTAATCCTCAGAGCATTGTATCTGAATCCTTACATCCACTAGTCAGAAAAGGCAACTAGAACTCCGAGGTTAAAGGGTTTATATGCAGCAAGTTCATCTTTCTTTCACTGTTCAAGACTGCTGCCTAACTATGAATGGATAGGGAAGGGCAGACCTCTGGAGGGGAAACTTCTGGATTTCTGCTTCCTTGCCTCTATCGAATCCTTTTATTCTTTTTCTTTTTTGGGTTATTTCAAGATACTAGTGGAGATGGGAGAATTTGAGCAACATATTTCCTCCTTTAGAGTGTAAAACTCTCACAAACACTGGGTTTTAAGAATCCAGTTTTATGGCGCATGTTGGTGACACGTGCCTGTAACCCCAGCAACCGTGATGCTGATGCAGAAGGATCACGGAGTTTAAGGCCAACAATCAGTTGAACTCTGTCTTAAAAGAAAGATAAATACACCGTTAAGCGCACTGTCGCACGTACTTAGTCCGGGAGATACCAGCTGTGGATCCTTCATCTTGAAGTCCAGGAGGGCCTTCGGAGTAGGCAAAACTGGGTTAGGAGACTGCGGGACCTGGCGATCAGGCGGTGAGAGCAGTGAACTGGAGGTGGAGCCTGGTGAGATGGCCGTGGGGAGGGGCGAGCTAGCAATGGGGAGTGGCGAATTGGCCATGGGGCAGGACTAAACTGGTCGTGTGGCTGGGCGAGCAGGGCGTGGGGAGGGGCTAACGAGACGTGGAACCGGGTGAGCTGGCCTTGAGGCTCGGCGATCTGGCCGTGGGAAGGGCTATCAGTCTGTGGGGAGGGGTGAGCTGGTCGTGGGGTGGAGCGAGCTTGAGTCCACGCCCCCCCCAGGCTTGGGGAAGTGACGTGTGCGGACAAAGGCAGAGGCCGCGAGGTGTCTGGTCCAGTAGAGTGGTGGTGGCTGCCTTGGGCTGTGGTCCTTTCCACCCTACTTCTCGCCTCTCCCTTGTCTCTCAGGTCCCGAGAGCCCCTCCCGGGTGAGTAGCGCGAGGTGGGCAAAGGGGACGCGGCTAGGGAGGAGGGAGGGACTCCCAACTGTCCAAAGCGGTGAGGCCCGCTAGTCAGGTGACCCAGGCCTGTCCCACGTGCATGTCCCTGGGAAGTCCACCGACCAGACCTGGCCAGGGACTTTGGTGACTACGTATCGGGTTAAGAGAAGCCACGTTGTCGGAGGCTGGCAAGACATGTACTCTCCCCATAGCCACCGAAAGGCCCTTTTCCGTTCTCAGTTTCCCTTCTGAGATAAGAAAGCAACTACTGCAAGGCTGGTGTGAGGAACTGGTGCTGTGCTTGGCTCACGACCTCGTGGTTAAGTGCCCGGTCGCACAGGTTGCTATCATGTTTAACTAGCTCCAGCTCTGACCAACACAGCGACTACAATCATTAGCCCTTGGGGCCAAGGTCAGCCTCCTTATAGGGAGACTGCCATCTCGAAAAGCCCAGGCTTTGCTGCTCTACCAACTGTGAGACCATTTTTGTCTTTTATGCTTTTGATAAGGGGTTGGAACAGCTGGTGTCAGAGGCCCTGACTGGGGTGATGGCAGTGATGCATGGTATGGTCACCCAGTGAGATCATGAGCTAATAGGAGGGTCCAGAACTATATGAGGAGCCTGGATCCTGTCCTCAGTTCTGGTTCCAGTTTCCAACTATGTGATGTTTTTAAGGCGCATCATTTCCTTTCTCAGCTGATTTTCCTGTCTATAAATGGGTGCGGAGGAGGGAGGTGTGGGGGGAGGGGGGGCTGTGTAGTGTTGGAGGTACTTGTGGAATGCTCTGCTGGAGGCCAGAAGCCATAAGATAAGAGGTTAGAGTTTTCAACTGTGAGGTAGTTTTGGGTGTACAGGGAGGGGAAGCTTGTGTTTGTATCCACATTGACCATCAGTTTCACTGGTTATATGACCTCATAGAACTTTCCTAGGGTCTATGGGTTTTGAGGGGGGTGTTAACATTTTCCTCACTTGATCTTAGGATTTGTGTTTGAGATTTTAAAGAAATATTTTTCTATTCGGTTATGTGTATTTGGGGGCTGTACATGTGAGTGCAGGGCCCTTGGAGGCCAGAAGAGGGCATTAGATTATAGGAAATGGAGTTACTGGTGGCTGTGAGCCAGCCAGAGTGGGGTGTGCTGAGAAGAGCAGCCAGTGCTCTGGCAGCTGAACCATCTCTCCAGCACCTGTTTGAGAACCAAAAGCTCAAGAGAGTATACACCTTCCTTCCACTGGGCATCACCTGACTTCCCAGAGGCGCCTGTAATCAGCCTTTCCATGAAGTTCAGTGTCACTTTCCTCATTGAATAAAAACAAAGAGCTGGGCAGTGGACAGTTGTGGTGCACACCTTTTAAGCTCAGCACTTGGGAAGCAGAGGCAGGTGGATCTCTGAGTTCAAGGCCAGCCTGGTTTACAGAGTGAGTTCCAGACCAAGCAGGACTATATAGTGGAAGTCTTGAAGAAATAAGCAAAGAAACAAAAAAAAAAAAAAAAAATGGGAAAGGAACATTGAGGCAAAACATTTGGTTTATTTATCCATTTATGTTGTGACCCTTGAGGTGAGGGCTGGGGGAGGGGGAAGCTGTGCATCTGCAACTCTTGTTTCTTCCTTTATTTTTTGATACAATGTTTCATGTAGTCTAGGCTGGCCTCAAAGTCACTTTGTAGCACAGGATGACTTGAACTTCTGACTTCCTGCTTCCCCCTCTGGAGTGCTGGGATGACAGGCATGCACCACCGTGTCCAGCTTTTAGGGTACTGAGTCTTGAACCCAGGGCTTTGTGCATATTAGGTAAGTACTCTGCCAACTGAACTATTTTTGTTTTCTTGAAACAGGGTCTCACTGTGTTGTTCAGGCTAGTCTTGAACTTCTGATTCTCCTGTCTCAGCCTCCTGAATGCTAGAAATATAGGCAGATATACCATACCCAGCTAAGTGTCAGATCTAAGCTCACACAGCTGGTAAGTAGAGCCAAGATTCAGGTCCAGTTCACCCTACTCTCAGAGCCATTTGTTCTTTTGTTTTGAGACAGGAGCTTACTATGTAGACCAGGCTAGCCTAGAACTCACAGATCTTTCTACCTCTCCCACCACACCTGGCATACTTGTGTTTTGAGACAGGGTTTCTCTGAGCAGACCAGTTTGGCCTTGAACTCAGGAACCACCTCTCTCAACCTCTGGAATGGTAGAAATAAGGACCTGTTCTGCCACACCTAACACACTTTTTATCTCTTGTTTAAAACCTTGTATGGCTAGGGGCTGGAGAGATGGTTCAGAGATTAAGAGCAAGCACTGGTTGCTCTTCCAGAAGGTCCTGAGTTCAATTCCCAGCAACTATGGTGGCTCACCACCATCTATAGCAAGATATGGTCCCCTTTTCTGGCCTGCAGGCTGAGCACTGTATACATAATAAATAAATCTTTACCAAAAAAAAAAAAAAAACCTTGTATAGTGCCCAGAGGTGGTGGCAGTGGCCTTGGTGTTGGCTGACACCTTTAATCTCAGCACTTGGGATATTAGAGGCAGGTGGATCAAAAAACAAAACAATAGCCTTGTATGGCTGTGGCCAGACTCCCTACTGTCTTTTTTCTCTTTCCTCTCTCACTCCCCCTCCTCCCCTTTCCAGAGCACTCATTTTCACAGGTCCAGCTGCTGTGCACACAGATCTGGGACAGGCACCACCCACCAGGCTGCTGGAGGGCTTCTGTAACTTTAGGCAGGGTTTTGTTTATTTTGCCTACAGTTGCTTTCAGGATTTTTCACAGGAATGTTACAGGGTGTGGTGACTGTAAAGGCCTGCTGGTGACAATTCATACATCCTTTTTTTCTCTCTGGGTCCTGGGAAAGGAGATTAGCAAGGCAGCTGCCCAGTGGAGTGGGAGGTGGCTAGATGACTCCAAGGATGTGCAGGTGATAGTCTGCCCATGAGCTAGCCTAGCATACAAACATGGCCACGCTCTCCTGATGGCCATGCAGTTTCCTGTAGTAGGGGGATGTTTTTCTTTCTTTTTTGATTTCTTTCTTTCTTTCTTTCTTTTTTTTTTTTTTTTTTTTTTTTTTTTTGTTTGAACTCGGGGTTTCTCTGTGTATCCCTGGCTGTCCTGGAACTCACTTTGTAGACCAGGCTGGCCTCAAACTCACAGAAAGCTGCCCACTGGCACTAAAGTCAAGTGCTGCCACCACTGCCACCTGGCTGGGGGTGGGGATATTTTTGTTGATGTCCCTAATTCTTAGGAGCCTTCAGGCCACTCAGTGCACACTAGAGGTCCATGTTCCGGCAGAGCCCCAGGAAGCCTTCACAAATCAACTGTAATAGCAAATCAGCCTTGGCCTTGCATTTCTGGGCCTGCTTGTGCCCCGCCTCCCCACCCTGACTCCCAGCTACTTCCTAGAGGCAAGTGGGATTCTTATCAAATAGATTTTTCAACTTTGGCATTTAAAGGGATTATGTCATAGGCTTTGGGTAAAGCAGAAAAATAAAAAAGTGTTGGTAACAGCCTGCAGTGTCATCTGTTTTGGATGGGTGGTGTAGGAGCCTCCAAGAGTGAGAAATGGTCACAGCTGTGTATGCTTGCTCAGTCATTCTACCCCAGCTAGCAAGTGTCGTTGACTCGAGCACTGTGCAAAGGGTGTGCCAGGTCAAGGCCCTACTCACAGGAGCTGGGGGCAGAGTGGCAGAGAGCCTCCCTTACCCAATTTTCCTGTCCTCTGGTAAGAAATCTGAAATCTTTCTTAGGACTTGGGGGCAGCAAGGGGGCATGGCTGGTTGCTGGGCCAGCATTGAGCTGGTGCAATATGGAAGAGGACTGAGTGCTGTCCTAGCTGGCTTGCTAGGGCTGTGGGACATACAGAGAGGCACCTGACAGCCTTCTTGTCCTAGGTCATCCTGTCAGTCCCCAACCAGGTACATAGTGATATTCAGGCTGGCGTTTCCTGTCTGGTCTGGCTTTCAAGCCACAGTACTGATCTACTTGTAGAGGTGGTGGCCCTAGGCACTGACGGGTCTTCATATTTCTTGTGGGCCAGAGACTTAGAGCTGAAGGCTGCCACTGTCTTCCCTGGGTCACTGTGTAGCATACCACTGTCTTCCTTGGGCCAGTGCTGCTTCTGGTGGAGCATTGTGGTAAAGGAGTTTGGTATTTAGAACCAGGATCTCCACCCTGTTACACCAAGGGCTCCTTAGGGGTGCAGGATGACTGTGCCTTCCTTTGGCCCCAAGCCCTTGCAATGAAGAGCGCAGTTGTGGTACTGGGACTGGTGACAAGTGGGGCCCTCTTGATTTCCTTGTGTACTTAGCAGAGATCATATGAGCCCACGGGGTCCCGTTCTGGTGTAGGCCTTTTCTTTGCTCACTGGGTTTGCTCTTCTCCCGGATTCCCATGGTGACAGTCCACATGACAATTGAGTTGAGAGCTGTGACTCAGGTACTCAGTGACACTGCCTGTCATGGTGGTACCTGGGTGGGCAGGCTTCAAGGTGGTCATGTTCCTGGGGCATCCCAGCATTCTCTCTGACTCTCCAGGCTTTGCCCTGGGGTGAGACGCTGTTGCCTTCAAAGAGCCTATGTCATTGCCCATCAGACATGGCGCTCAGGACCCAGCTGGTGAAGTGTGAACTGCAGGGTCCTGTCCAGGAAGCCAGTGTTCTAGCGGAGACCCTTAAGTTCAGGACAGCATTGTAGGGACAAGCTGCCCTGGTGGGGAGAGCAGTGCATGGGTGGTTAGTTTCCATGTGCACAGTGAGTAATGGTGCTATCTATTCCTGGGCAAAGGATGGGTGCTAGGCAGTGTCTGAGCAGCAGCCATCACTGTCATCCCTGTTGCTACTGCCGCCACTGATCTGACACCCTCAGGCTTGTCCTGGGTGCTTCCTTGCTCATTATTGGAAGTTTAGGATTGGTTTTGAGACTGACAGCTTTGGGAGCTACTCAGCCAGCACTGGCTTGAGTCCTCCTCAGCTTCTTACCCACTACCACTCTGGCCCTGTCTACCCATACCACGTCGTTTACTGTACCGTTGCTTGTCCCCATTCAGAAAGAAGTCCTCTAGAGCTTACACAAGGCTCTGCCATGGAGAGCTTACCTGGTGGTGTATTCCATCCATACTGGAAACATACGAAAGGGGTCTCGCCACTGACTGGCTGTTCATAGCCTTTATGAAGCCACATCAGGACAGAGGAGCCCTTGTTTTTTTTGCTGCATTTAGCTGCTTTCTGTTTTCCAGTCTCCTACTGGACTATGTACATCAGATCCTCGAAGTAGCTGGGACAAAGGAGTGCCAGCCACTTCTGAGTGTAGTGATTGTGGTCCTCCACAACATGTGGACAAGCTGGGGTGGGCGCGGCCAACCCAGTGTCACTTTGCTGAAGGGCAGGCTGGGCCAGGGCTGGACTATGGTTTTGTGATTCCCATGGCTTTGTTCCCACATTTCCCCTCAGCTAGCCAGTGTTCAGGAGCCTAGAGTTCCTCCTGACTTCTTCTCACTTAGCCAACTCCTGCTCATCCATTACCATCAGCACCTGTGTTCCTTTCCTCAGAGCCTCAGTAGCCTCTGGCTATGTCCTTACTGTTGAAGTCCAGTATGTGCCTAGTTCCTGCCTGTTGCTTCCTGGGACACAGCTTGGCACCTGGCAGAGACCCCGCTCTGAAATGAAGGGCTGGTCCTCCCTGAGCCGTTCACTTGCTACCAAGGGACAAGAGAGACATGAAAGTTGCTCGGGCCTCCTGGGTGGTCTCCTGTGGTATCCATAGCAGAAGGCAGGGGCCCTGCTCTGGGGTTGTAGGTCATCGAGTCAAGAGTCTATACATAGATTCAGAAACAAGACACCAGACTACAGGGTTCCTTCCTTTGGTCATTTTGTAAAATGTCTAGGGTGCTGGGTTGTTATCCAAGAAGTAGGTGACTATTTAGGTGGCTGGACATTGCTTTCTCTAGACAATTTTCTGCCTCACACAGTATGGGGCCCTTTACTCTAGAGGCCTCCTGCCATCTGATGCCCTGCTCATTTTTCTTCTTCCTTCTTCAGAGAAGCAAAGCTGTGGTTCGCAACAGCACAGCTGGTGGCATCATGACAAGTGAGGTGATTGAAGATGAGAAACAGTTTTATTCGAAAGCCAAGACCTACTGGAAACAGATCCCGCCCACGGTGGACGGCATGCTTGGGGGGTATGGCCACATCTCCAACATCGACCTCAACAGCTCCCGGAAGTTTCTGCAGAGGTTTTTAAGGGTAGGCAGGTCTGATGTCCTCTCCAGGAGAGGCTGTGGCTCTGGTGGGGCAGTGTGGGGAGCCACTTCCACACACCACACTGCGGGTTCTCTGTTCATCTGTTGGTGGCTACCACCAAGGCCCCGAAGAGCTGGCTTGGGTGGTGATTGGGTGGGACTTGTGGGCTGAGTTTTATCTCCAGGCCATGCGTCAGGAGCTGGCCATGCACTGGGGACTCAGCTGTGTCAAAACTGCGCACTCTGGGAACAGCCTCTACTGTCCTAAGGGTGCTGGGCTGTGAGTGGTAACTGTCCTCCTGTGACTCCTTGTCCTGCAACTGTCTATGTCCTCCCTTCCCAGCTTGTTGCAGCACAGGGGTGAGGCCTGCAGGAGGCCCTTACCCTTTCTCCATCCCCCCCCTTCCCATGGTGCTCAGCAGTTGCCCTGCTTGCATTTTCTGCATCCTTAGCGCTGTCACCCTGGGGTCCCTTGAGTGAAAGGAGATTGTGTGTACCTGTTTTCCTAGCTGTCACCTTGAAGTGGAAGCTGCCTTTAAACTGAGAAAGTATTCCACTTGCCCCCTTATGCTAGGCCAGTGCAGGAACCTCACTCTGCTTCCTGGGACTCATGAGAAGGGTCCTGCAGTGGGGGAATCCCTGAGGGTCATATGCTGCCCTGTGTTTTAGGAAGGACCGAACAAGACAGGGACTTCCTGTGCCCTGGACTGTGGTGCTGGCATTGGAAGGATCACCAAGCGCCTGCTCCTGCCGCTCTTCAGGGTGGTGGACATGGTGGACGTGACAGAGGACTTTCTAGCCAAAGCTAAGACCTACCTAGGGGAAGAGGGCAAGAGGGTGAGGAACTACTTCTGCTGTGGGCTGCAGGATTTCAGCCCAGAGCCCAATTCCTATGATGTGATCTGGATCCAGTGGGTGATAGGTAAGAGTCCCATTGCCATTCCCCATGCTCATCATGCCCCCCCCCCCCGCGCGCGTGGTGCCCCACCAGCCTTGGGAGCCTAGTTCTGCCCCCTCAGTGAGCCAGCAGCCGAGATGCAGCTCTCTCCCTTTTCTCAGGACTGTGAAGAGACACCTAAAGCCCCTGAACCGCTGCTATCTAGGGGAACAATCCTAAGTTGTCAGTGACACTGATTTGGAGATGTGAGAATGAGTTTTATAATAGAAATGGCTCAGCAGTTAGAGCATTGACTGTTGTTGCGAAGGACCTGAATGTTGGTTCCCAGTACCCATATGGTGGGTAATATTCAAATGTAGTTGTAGGGGATCCAATGCATGTGCGTGCACATCAGACACACATGGTACAAATACATACATGCAGGCCATGGCCATTCTAGAACTTGTTCTGTAGACCAGGCTGGCCTCAGACTCAAGAGATCTGCCTGCCTCTGCCTCCTGAGTGCTGGGACTAAAGGCATTCTAGCTAGAGAGAATCATTTTTTAATTTTGAGACAGGTTTCTCTGTGTAGCACTAGCTGTCCTGGAAATCGTTTTGTAGATCAGACTGGCCTTGAACTCTCAAATCCACCTGTCTCTGCCTCCCAAGTGGTGGGATTAAAGGCATGTGCCACCATGCCCACTTAGAAATTCTAAAGATTTAAAATGTGTATGTATTGAGTTTGAAGCCAGCCTCGTGTACAGAGCGAGTTCCAGGACAGCCTCCAACGCAATACAGAGAAACCCTGCCTCGGAAAACAAAACAAAAATGTATGTATGACTGCCTGCATGTCTGTGTACAATGTGTGTGCAATACCCATGGGAGCCAGAAGAGGGCATCAGAGTCCTCTGGAGTTGGAGTTACAACAGCTATGAGCTTTCATGTGGGTGTTGGGAACTGAATCCCGGTCCTCTAGAAGAGTTGGGGCTTTTAACCCAAGTCATCTCTCTAGCCCCTAAGTCCTTATCTTTTTATCATGTCCCCCACTCCCATCTCCTTATGTAGCTTAGATAGCCTCAAACTCAAATCCTCCTGTCAGGTGGTGGACTCACAGGGTGTACGGCCAGGCCAGGCCAGGCGTGTTTGCAGGATTTGAAAGTGTGTAACTCTGCACTCCTGCTATGGCAGTAAGGATGGGGTAGGGTGCCCAAGTTGCCTCATCTGGACTGCTATACACAGGGCTACTGGCACTAAGAGATGCTTCCTTAGGGGGCTGGAGCACTAGTGTAGTCACTGGGCCTGAGCCTTTTGTTTGGGAGCTTTCAGCTCCACCCTGCAATCCAGGCCTGGGAAAGGTGGGTGGTATGCCCTGCAGGCATCAGAGCACCCAATCAGGTTAAAGCCCAGCTCTGACTCTATGCGTTTGTGTGGGTGGCTTCAGAACTCTGGCCTCCTCTGACATGAAATAGGGCTTAAAACTGAGAGAGACACCAGCTTGATGGGTCCATGCTGAGGGTCACAGACACACAGATACATGCATGTGCACACAGCTTCTGTTCTCCCCAGGCCACCTGACAGATCAGCACCTGGCTGAGTTTCTGCGCCGCTGCAAGCAGGGCCTGCGCCCCAATGGCATCATTGTCATCAAAGACAACATGGCCCAGGAGGGTGTGATCCTGGATGATGTGGACAGCAGTGTGTGCCGTGACCTGGAGGTGGTACACCGGATCATCCGCAGTGCGGGCCTCAGCCTCCTGGCCGAGGAGCGCCAGGAGAACCTGCCAGATGAAATCTACCACGTCTACAGCTTTGCCCTGAGATGAGGCCAGGGCCAGAGCTGGGGGCCAGCAGCTGGCAGGCCACTAGACACACCTGTCATCACCTTTGACTCCAGTGGGAAGGGACGAGCCCTGGGAAGCTGTGCTGTGGTTCGGGGCAGTGCAGCCCTGTCACTCCAACACACCCTGGCAACTCCCCACGGGCTGCCACCTATGGAACTGGCTGCCAAGGACCTCAAGTGTATGAACTGCTGTTCCAGGAGAGCCACACATGGTTCCTGCCAGATGGTACCACTTACAAGAATGGTCCTCTTTGGTGATGGGTCACAGCAGCCTGCAGTAAGGGAAGGCTTCTTCAGCTCCTTGGGAGCTCCTCCCTGATAGGCACTGCAGTCAATAAAAGAGTGAACCCTCTTCTCAAATGCCCCAGGCAGTCTGGAGTGATGCTGTGTGGGGACACAAATCAGATCACACAAGGACACTGAGTTTAATCTTATATTTTTAATCATTTCTGCTCACTCCCAGAGGCCAAGCAGTCTGGGAAATGCCTGCAAGGGCTTAGCACTAGAGAGGAGAGCCAGCTTCTGGTCTCAGTGATGTGTCTGGGGAGCTCCTCACAAAGCCAGGCCCTTTAGACAGACTGTCCTGTTGTGCTCATGACACCTTTAAGCAGAAGGCAAGGTCCCCGAGACCTGGATGCAGCATGAGCAGAGCTGCCACCAACCACAGATCACTAAAGGCTATAGGATGGGGCAGACCTCTAACCCAGAAGATTACCACTCCGGTAGCCTCAGTGCCGTCTCTAGTGCCTCAAAGCACTGTGAGACTTGAAGTGGCAGAGCAGGATCTAGCTGGATGGCCCAAGGTTTTGGCACTGGTCCCTGAAAGACCCACGTATGTGCCTCCCCACAGGGTCAATTGGCCTCTGCTGACCTGCTTAGCTCCTGATTAAGAGGGCAGATATGTCCTATCCACACCAGTCCTTCCAATGTGGCTGAGACTTGAGAATGCAGAGGGAGGCGGCCATGCCTTTGGCCTCCAGGACACTACCCTAAGTTGTTTCATATCAGTAAAGGGTGAAGCTTGCCCAGATAAAAGACCCTCCGAAGGCAGTGGCAGGTACCAGGTCTACCCCCAGGATGGCTTCAGCCAACCCACACCATTCCATTCCAGGGTCCATCAGCAGTTGTCTTCTGTGCCACTGTGCGCACTGAGCAGGTACCACTTGAGCCTGTCAGGCAGGGGCAGAGCTTTGACCTTGGTGTCCACAGGCCATGGCCGCAGGCACAGCCGGATGGACACACGGCACAGGTGTTTGAGAGGTGGTGGGTAGCTCTCTAGCTGCCTCAGGGAGGCATGCAGGGCCTGGATCTTCCCTGCCAAGCTACCCACTGGGTGGATGCTGAAGTTCTCAGGCAGTTGGAGCCTCTGGGAGCTAGTCACCATAAGGTCCAGCACAGTCTCAGCCTTATGCAGAAGCTCAACATGACTATCGTCTTCAGCGCAGCCCGGGTGGGAACACAGCCTCTCAAAAATGAGGTTGAAGCCAGACCAACAGGATGCACCATGCAGGGAGCAGTTGTAGGCAGCCCCAGACTCCAGCAGGAAGCGCAGGAGGGGAAAGTGCAGCTTGAAGCTCTTGAGGCAGATGTGTGTGAGCGACTCGTGGGCTGGGCACTCACTAGGGTCAGCCCCATGGGCCAGCAAAAGCTGTGTGACTTGGAAGCAGAAGTGGTTGATCATCGGGGCCTCCTCCTTGTCCCCACAGACAGTTTCACCCAGCAGGAAGATGATACATGTGAATACAGTGTCCCCATCCTTGGTGGTGGCCTTGACATCTGCCCCTGGAAGAGCCATGGAAACAAAATTGAGGTGGCCAGCAGTCCTTACCAAACAATGGTGGGGGGGGGGGGATGAAGCGCAGAAGACATGGCAGCTGCTATGGACAGATGTAGAGCCTCACCTCCCTCCAGGAGAAGCCGGATGTTGTCTGTGTTGTGGATCTGCACTCCATCGCTGCTAGCCAGAGCATGCAGCAGTGCCGTCTTCCCTAGGAAGAAGAGGGAGGATGAGGCCAGTGTGCCCACAGACGGGTGGAAGCAGGGTTCTCAACGCTGAGGGAAGAGCTTCTAGATTTTCATTCACACAAAAATAGGAACAAGAGGATTAGCAAGGTCAGGACCTGTCTGCATCCAAGCACAGACACAGGGTACACTCACTTCTTAAAGATGCCTTCTGAGGCAGCGTGGAGATAGTGAGCACTCTCCAGGGTGCTGGACCACTCTCCAGGGTGCTGGATCCAGCCAGGCTGGCACCCTCCTCCTGTATGCCAGCAGTGCCTATGCCATCCTCTGGAGCCAGCCCCCGGATGCTCTCCTGGCTCTCCCCAAGGATGGCCAGCCTCCCACCAAGGCACTTACCATTCTTGTCAGCTGCATTGACATCTGCTCCAAGGTCCAAGAGGCGCTGCAGGCAGGGCAGACGTTCAGGTTCCTCGCTGGCCAGATCTAAGGGGCTACTCTCATGGATCTGAGCCAAAAGGGATAGCAGCCATGTTGGCCTGGGGCCTGAAAGGCTAGTTGGTAAATCTACCACACACACCCAAGCTGACTGGACCCAACTCTTACCCGGTCCCTCCTGTTGATGTCAGCTCCATGGCGCACCAGCAACTCCACCATGTCGGGCTGGTTTCTCAGGACAGCGATGTGTAGTGCTGTGTAATAGGTAACAGGGTCTGGATACAAAGAAATGCAGGTCAGTCTCTTCTCAAAGGTTGGGGACCTGGCCTCAGAGCCTCTCCCCAGCACTGCCACCTCAAGCCTGCAGATGCTGGGCCTGAAGTCCTGGTGTTGGCCTCAGTTTCCTCTCTGTCACTTTCTCAGGACTGTTCCCAAGAAGCATGCAGAGTGTGCTGTGCTCAAGCCTGGCAGTGCAGCCAGCCTTTTGTTTTCTTGAGCCATGCTCTCACTACAATGCCCTGGCAGGCTTTGACCTTGCCAGGTATCCCAGAACCACTCAAGATCCTTGTGCCAATAGGCAGTGATGGTGCATGCCTTTAATCCAAGCACTCAGCAAAGGCAGGGGTATCTCTGAGTTTAAGGCCAGCCTGGTCTACAAAGCTACACAGAGAAACCCTGTCTCAGAAAAAAAAAAAAAAAAAAAAATTCTGCTTCAGCCTTCCACCATGCTTGGCTACAACCAGGCCACATGGAAGGGCTTTGGAACAGATGCTGCCTTCTGCTTACAGGATTCCCAGGTGCTTGCAGCCTCTGAGCATGGTTTCTAATGAAAGATACAACAGCTGTACTGTGTGGGTCAGCACTGGCCCCACATTAGCTCAGAGGCAGTCCTACCTGTTTCTATTGCCTGGGGTAACAGCCAATGGCAGGATAGGAAGTTGGCCCTTCATTATCCCGGATGCTTAAGAAACCTATGAGGCTTGCTGTAACTGATGCCTAGTATGGCTACTCTTCCCAGCTCTAGGGTCTGAGCAAAACCTGCAGAACAGCTCAAAGTCACAGGAAATCACCTTCCCTTGGCTCTGGGCACTACCAGTGCAATTTCACCATAATAGAAGTGGGATTAATCTGGAAGCTGGGGCATTTAATCATATGACAGAAGCAATACCACTCCTGTGGGAGTAGAGGTGCTATGAGCCAACGCAAAGCCCACAGGACTGGGGGAGCCACCCAAAGGAAAAGAATAAGCAAAGTCACTGGGTAGATAAGAGGAAAAGTAGAGGCCAGGCCTGGCTGCCTAGCCCATCTTGCTGACCTTCAAAATTGAGGTTGGCCCCACTCTGCAGAAGGACAGCAGCTGCCCGAGTCAGCCCCAGCTCAGCCATCTTCAGCAAAGCATTGCTCACACCTTCCTGGTAGAATGGAGAGTGGGCCTTCTGCTCCAGAAGCTCAGTGAGGGCCAGGATGCGGCTCTCCTCGCCGGCAGCGTAACTGCACAACAGAGGCAAAGCAGATGCGGTGGGAATGCTTGGGGACCAGCTGCCCTACCCTGTGTGCCATTCCACAATCACCCACAAAAACTGCTCATACTCGGTAGGGCAGAGCCTTTCTTGTTCAAGTCTAAAATGGTTTCAAAGCCATCCTTCAGCTTGCTACCAAGGGGCTGGCTCTGTCCAGCTCTCTCTCACCACCATGAAGGCGGCCTCAAAGCCCTCACCCTTCCTAGTCAACACTACCTACTAAGAGTTTCTTGGGCCTGGGACTGCTCCACACCTTGCCCCAGCTCTGATAACGGCCCAAACACCTTCACTTTCAGATCCACCTTCTCTCCACGAAGTTCATCACTCGCTCTTCTCCCTAATCTCACCCACCAGACCTCTTATAATATGTTGGCCCCAAGGTTCGACCAAAAAAGCTTATCTGGGGCAGCCCTCCAGAATATGCTAGGCTCCGCCCACGGAGGATGGCAGCATCTTGATGTGCAGCCCTCCAGCCCCGACTCGGAGTTCTGGAAAAGCCTGGCAATGCACTCAGAGGAAAGAGGTGATGTGGTTTAGAAAACACTTCCCTGGTGAGACTGACAATGCAATCCCAGTTCATGATGCCCCACCTCTGCCCATAACACCTCGTGCATCCCACACCACACTGCTGGTCTGGGTGCTCGCCTGTCGCAGCGCTCCAAATACCCGGAGAGCCTTGCACAGGGCACAAGAACCACACCCGCTTCCTTTCTCAGAGAGAGGGACCTGCTGTCTGCAGAAAACGCGCTCAGCCACAGCCAGCTCATCTCCCTTCTGGCATCCACGCACAGGGAGCGGCGCCGAGGCCCAAGTCCTCCGCATTGCAAGACGCTGCGAGTTAGCCTCGAGCTGGAGCTCGCGCTCGGAGCCACACAGCTCCCGCCGCGACAACCACAGGGGACCACAGCCACTCACTCATCCAGGGGCTCCTGACGCTCCAGGTCCTGGATGCCCAAGGCGCCCAGGATGGCGTCCACCAGGGGCTGGTATTCGAAGATGATCCTGCGAAAGCCGTGCAGGAATGGCATGGCGACGGCCGTACGTCCCGACACACACACACACACGCCACCTCTTCTCGATCTACCGGTTCAGACCCGGCGCCGGTGACCAGTCCTCTGCCCAGGCCGCGGTTCCGCACCGGAAGTGTCTTTGCCACACCTACTTCCGGTCCTGGCAGGCTGGTGGGGGCGCAAGTTCGGCCACAGTGCCCCCTGCCGCCCAGGAGGACCTCGTGGGCACTCCTCATTGCCCCGGCTCCGCCCCTCCCTATCCCCCGCGGAGCTGCTAGAGGGCGTCCGAGCTCCGCTTGGGCTCATGGCCAGGCTAATTAATACCAGGCTCCCTTCCGAGGTGATGCAGACCCTGTTCCTAGCCAGGACACTGCTCCCTTGCAGCCTTCTTGACTTTGGCCACTGCCTAAGGAAGAGCTGCACCCACCTCAGT